TCTGAACTAGCAGGACCTGGGAGTGCAGACCTAACAGCCCCCAGACTGTGGAACACCCTTTACCCACCCCTGTTGCTTGTCATGTGTTTCTTTGGTGTATTAAGAGTTTTTTCATGTGCTATGTGCAGAGGTGTTTTTTTCTGTTCTCAAACTGAGCTCCCTGTTGGAGCTCAGTCTGGGGGGAGTTATTTTTTCTCCTTATCTTTCCTCATGTGGTGCATTTTTCCATTGTTATACCTCTCTGACCTGTGAGGTATAACCATGTGATGTTTTCTGTAATGTATGTATGGTCGGAAGGTCAGATGGTGCCACCATTGCGTTCAATAGGTCGGCAGCCTTATGAAATTTCCCCTTGTGGGACTAATAAAGGTATATCAAATAAAAACTCTCTCGCTCTGAGCCTAAGAACTGCGGACTCAGTAGTCGCTTTTAAAAAACAACTCAAAACTCACCTTTTTAGAATTGCTTTTGGTTAATTCTTCCCTGTTTATGTTGTTTGTTTTATGTTTTATGAATTGTTATTCTATGTGCAGCACTTTGTGATTCTCTGTCTAGAAAGGTGCTATATAAATAAAAATTTACTTACACATATTTGGACAGAGACAACTTTTTTCTAATTTTGGTTTTGTACATTACCACAATCAATTTCAAATGGAACAACTCAGATGTGGTTGAAGTGCAGACTTTCAGCTTTAATTCAGTAGGTCGGGAAAAAAATGCATAAAAATGGGAGGAAAGGATCTTTTGTAAAACAATCCCTATAATTGGACAAATTAAATAACTGAAAACAAAATGTTAATTTCTAATGCTTGAAACCCCTTTGCTGGCAATGACAGTCTTGAAGTCTTGAACTCATAGATATCACCAGATGCTGGATTTTCTCCTTTTTAATGCCCAGTGACTTTACTGCAGTGACTTTCATTTGCTGTTTGTTTGTTGGCCTTTTTTTTTTAATTCAAAACATTTTTATTGAGTATTTGTGGATATAGTTTATAAAGAAAAAAAGAAGACGAAAAACACAAACTGTTTACAATGAATACAAAACAGAATTTCTCATGTTGGAACATTGTTTTCCTCTCTTATTATTTATCAAACAAGCAATGAGAAAAAAGAAAAGAACAAAAAACATAAAAAAACAAAAAGAGAGATCTCCCCCCCCCCCCAAAAAAAACCAAAAAACAACCCCATAAGAGCCACACAGAAGTTAGCTACACCATCACTGAGTTCCACGTTTCCGTTAACACAGACAGGCATCTGACCACTATGGAGAAGCAAATCCGTTAGACAGCTGGAACATCCTTGAGTTGAAGTTAAGAGAAGTTGTCCAGAAAGAGACATTTGTTGGCCTTTCTGTCTGTAGTTTAGTCTTCAACAAGTGAAATCCATGCTCATTTGGGTTAAGATCAGGTGACTGACTTGGCCTTTCAAGATACTACCACTTCTTTGCTTTCATAAACTCCTGGGTTACTTTGGCTGTTTTGGGTCATTGTCCAACTGTATTATGAAACACCACCCAATCAGTTTGACTGCATTTATGTGAGCAAACAATACATCTCTGAACACATCAGAATTTATTCAGCTGCTTCTGTCCTGTGTCACATCATCATACTTTTTTTTCTAGCCATCATTCTGGTAGACGGTGTTCTTGGTTTCATCTGTCCAAAAAACATTTTTTCTGCTGGCTTTTTTAGAGTCCAATCTAGCCTTTCTATTCTTGAGGCTTATGAGTGGCTTGCACCTTGCAGTAAATGCAGTCATTTGTTTATGGTAGCCTTGAATATCAATACGCTTACCTCCTGGAGAGTGTTTGTTTACATTGTTGGATATTGTAAAGGGGTTTCTCTTCAACATGGAAATCATTCTGCAGTCATCCAGCACTATTGTCTTCCCTGGACGTCCTAATATTGTAGCAATTTCTCAGATAGGCTTAAGGATGGCTTGTTTCATGGAGAGCTCCTTTGACCATATGTTGTCTGTTCACAGCAAAATCTTCCAAATGGAAGCACCACACCTCAAATCAACTCCAGGCCTTTTATCTGCTTAATTGATAATGACATAAAGAAGGAATTGCTCACACCTTCCCATGAAATAGCTTTTGAGTCTTTTAGTCCCTTTAAAGTAGCTGAAACTCCTAAATCCTTCATCCAATTTGAATATGGGTACCCTCAAATAAAAGCTGAGAGTCTACATATTATGTCCATGTTTCCATTATATAAATAATTAAAAAAAAAAAAAAAA